TATATAACCAGTGTTCTGTATTCGGTATTGCATTGACGATCAGAACCCTTTCTTGTTGTTCTCGGACCGAATTGTATCTCTTGAAACTGCGTTGAGTGGAAGCGCTACTATTGAGGTTTGTAATATTATTGCTTCCTGATTGTTTGTTAATAGTACCGTCATCTTGTCCAGTGTTCTTGTTGTTTGACTGGCTGGATACGCGTTGGCTCAAGGCCCTTCAAAGCGAATTGTCGCTTACAGTACTCAATACTGCTTCCTTGTTTGGAGTGAAGTTTGAAGTTTCGAGTGCCGTACTCAACAGCATTTCGTTTGCTTTCAACTGGATTCCGGAATTTGACGGTTCCTTACGCCTTGAAGTGAATTGGAACTCACTCAATCACGTCAGACAATGTCTGCAAGGAATTTTACCTCTGAAAATCTCATGGATGATGCAGCATACCGGCAAGTCATTGATGAATATCATGATGGTGCTTCATGCTCTGGTTCACATGTTAGCCATAAGATTGTGCATAGTATTATTTCCCGTCGTTCGTCCGCTGTAATGACTGTAGCGGAGTTAAGAAAAAGACAGTCAGATTTGGATAAGCAGAAGCGTTTAGTAGATCTGAAATTAGAAATGGCCAAGCTTCGAGTAGAATTGGAAGAAAGCAATGTCCACTCTAATCTTAAAGTGATATCGGCCCCTAGTTCTGGTGAGAGGAATCAGGGTATAGGCGCTTTTGTTGATCAGTTTCAGTTGTCGGCAGCCGAGGCATACGATCACAGAGCGAATCGGGGTAGGTTAGTGTCACAGCAGTGCCTACAGCTAGATCTGCCAAAGGTTGAACTAGAATATTTCAATGGTAACCCTGCTAAGTATTGGTAATTTGTAAAGCAGTTCGAATACTACGTCGAAAGCCGCGTGTTTGACAGTGGCCAGCGACTGCTTTATTTGATTCATTATTGTCGTGGCTATGCCAAGGAGGCCATCAGTGAATGTGTGATGTTGCCTCCCCCTGTGGCCCACGATAGAGCGAGAAAGGTTGGCGGTGAACTCTTTGGAGAATGCCATGTCGTAGCCAGATCGTTAATTGATGGTCTCATGACTGGCTTGAGGCCACTCTCTGCCAACCCAGTTGAATTGAGTAAATTGTCCATG